AGTTCATCAGAAAGGTGGTGACCGAAGAGGGAAATTATCTGACCAAGACGTAGATTTCATAGAGACACTGAAACGAGAACGTCCATCGATGACGTATCAAGAAATCAGAGATAGGTTATTACAGTATTCCCAGTTAGATGACATGCATGTCAGTAGCATCGGACGTGCAGTTCGTGATAAACTTGGCGGAGGGCCGTGGACAAACAAAAAGATGACAATTCCTCATGCAGCAAGATTTAATGATGAAAATATGGAATACACGCAGGCGTTCATAGATTATTTGCATACGAAAAATCCTGCTACATTGAAGTTTATGGATGAGTGTGGAGTGAAAATTAACACGGGACAGTCCGCTTATGGACATTCACAGAGAGGAGTCCGGTGCGTTGAAATCGGTCGTTATATTGCAGGACCGAATCACACTCTCAATTTTATAGTTGGTCTGAATGCCTCTATGTTTGCATCAGTAATTCCGGGTCCATCAAATGCAAACCAATTTGTTATTTTTTTCACTGAAGCAACGGAAGCGTTCACTGTTGACGGCGAACCAGTGTTAACACCAGGTGATACAGTTGTTGTGGACAATGCCCCGATTCATCACCACGAAGCAGAAAGGTTGCTTTTTAATTTACTGGCATTGAATTAGTTTATCTCCCAACTTATTCTCCAGATTTCAATCCTGCTGAAAACTGCTTTAACAAATTGAAAATCACACTTAAACGTGACTACTACAGGGAATTATTGCACGATAACTTACCTATTGCTGTATATGACGCACTTTCCGAAATAACACCACATGATACTTGGGAATTCTTTATGCAACTGGCTACTTAAATATGAATCCCAATCTATAGATTTCCAAATAAATGCACCTTGGCAACTCAAACTAAACAACCTGTTTCAGGTTTATTTAATCTCTTTTTTTATTAGAAGTATGATAATTAGTATGTGTGTATGTGCGAGTTGATAAAAAAGTCTATATGTAAAATGTTTGAAATAATATTACCTTGCATTTGATACAAATTAAAACACGGGAGTGTAATACTTCTATGATTTAATATAAGCTATACATTTTTATGACCAACGAGGCTGTGGACAGCGTGTTCTCTATACATTATTTGTATCGACTTCGATGGCCACTAAGCTTCAATGTAACTAAATTAAGGTTGTTACAATTTAATAACGTAACGTCAAAACTACGTGGGTGAGGCAGCTTGATCGAATTCTGTTGTAGATACAACACTCTGAAATGGCGAATCCCGAGAAAATGTACACCATTGTCGGTATGAATGTAATTATAAGTATATTTCCTGAAGGCTACTGTCGTATATATTTATAAAACTTGTGTGCATCTGGTCAACCCCTAAAATCCTGCATAAACTTAATCAAATCGACCACGGTACTAAGTCATCAAACACTAAACTACCGACCGTCATATGTGTGTTGTCTATGCTGGTTGTGACATTTTATTACCATAATAATTCATGTTCTATCTGTCTATGAATATTATGTATGATTTGTAAAACTACGAAATACACTCAACCCACTGTAAACTATTTTTGTTTGATGTAAACACAAATTACAAAGAATTTTCATCACTGTATCAACGAGTCATCCACTACTTTCCCGATTTGGAAATGCTGGTTCATAGCTAATGATGCCTCATATTAGTATAGCATTATTACCTGAAAATATTTAGAATTTACGCCACACATTGTACGCATACGCAATCCTGCACATTATTTCAAAAACAATTAACTTACGTGTGCCTGGAGGACTAATGCAAAGAAAAAACAAATTCTGAGCATTTTTCACTGCAAGGTGTATTCGACGAAATGAGCAATGAATATAGATCCCACGGATCAGTGGTTCTGTATTTATTCATTATGCTAATAGAATATACTGGAAGATAAGGGGGTCGTATTGTCACCACACCCCGCGTTTTACCACCCTAACAAACATCAATTCCTCAACTATATTTAACTACAAATACAGCACCAAAATAAACACACGATCATCACTACAATTTATCTATTTATGGATTTTTTTATCTTTTTTCCGCACCTCGATTACTTTTTTTATTGCCAATATACTCTCCCCTATCAAATGAATTATTCAGATATGCTTCATATCTTCAGCTCACTCAGTTCTGTGTCGCCTTCGTTAAAAAGGCGTTCGAGATTAATATGGACTTCTTAAATTTTGTTTTTCACAATTTCTTTACTTTTCATTATCCAATGATGTTACT